GGACCCCTCGCAGTTGTGTGAAGCAGCGGGAGAATACCGGTAAAACACGTGTCTGGGCCTTCTAGCATGTACCTAGGCTGCTAGTATGGTGAGTTACAACATTAACTAAAGTGTCTCTATCGACAGGAAGTTGATAGTTCGCAGTGGTTAACGGGTTTCAAACCAAATATACACCTACAATTTCGGTTTACGCCCATAGACCTTAAATATACTGATATACCGCAAAACGAAATAAAATGATCAGGAGATCAAAAAGCTGAACTAACTTGTCTTTCCGAAAATACTATCTACCTAGACTTCAAGCCACTGTGTGGCTGCTGGTGGAACTCTAGAATTTGCAGCATGGGACGAGTTAGTTCCGTTAGCAATCGGTTAAAGTAAAGCAATGAGCATATCGCTAACCAGTTGATGAATGCCTTTATGTTTAACAGTAATTCTATGGTGCATTTATAATTGCGAAATAACGTGTAATAAGGAGCAAAGATACTGCACAGTCGAATGAATGAGAGGGTTCGCGATCCAGGTATTTGCATGGATGAGGAAGAAGGCGGGTCGAGCACCAGATCATTAAATCAATTGATTTTGGGCGCCTAAACAATTTTCCCTTTTATTAATTCGCCTAGCCCTTGTAGGAAAATATCGTTTTGGCATACAGCAGATGTTTATTAATAGTTTAATCGGTCAACATGTTTTTATTCTTCAGCAGAAAATTAGGTAACCGTATATTCAGGCATTTCCATAGGGTAACAGCCGTCCTAGAGTTACTTTGTGCATTTTTACTTGTTTATTGTTTGGAGCATACAAAGTTACTCTTTATTGTTTTAAGAAACAAAATTAGTCGCAATTTAGAATTGGTTTATTGTCCGACATAAGCCATATACAGCGGACTGTAATTCAACAGATTATTTTTGGAAAATAAGACTTCACTTATTGTTGAAGGACAAATTTTTAAATCAGCGTGATTTTGAGCTCTTTGGTGCAGTTCTAACGCTTACACGCAGTGTTTTGTTGTATCAGGCCAATATTTTCATGAAATTGTCAACTAAAGAATAAAGAACTGACAAAATAACTATATCGGAAAGAAAGCTTTGTGCGATATATATTTACAGTAGTCGCCGAAAACCACGCAACATGCCGACATATGCGAAAGATTGATACTCTTTCGCTAATCGGCATTGCTCGGATTGTGATACTGATTACCGTGTAGCGTTTTTTGAAGTTATTTCAGTCATGAAAGGATGCGAGCTTTTTACTGAGCTTCGTTCTGACCAGTAGCAAAACGTACCTATTGTAGAAACTGGTTACTTAAATAGTATGCGTTTTTGTCATTTATTTTCACTGCCTTTGTAAATTTAAATATATATTTTATGGAAAACATGCATGAAAAATTATTTCTTGTACTCGTTTGGTAGAAAATTACGTCGCATTTAAATTTTATACTTAAAGAAAGTGTGTCTTTCGATTTAAAAAAAGTTTCTGCTGCTACGCCCGAATTCAAGGTTTAAAAACTGTGCACTGTGTACATCCTGTTAACGAAAAGTACGTATTCGCCTACAGTTTGAGAAACAATTCACATAGTTCTCATAAAATATTGCCATAGATGTGGAACATGTTTTATGAAGTATAGACAGCATTAATAAATTGACGGATACAATGTATTATGAATAAACTCCTCACAGCTGTAAACATAATTTAATCTCGCCCAACAAGTTCATGAAGTACGTGAACGGGCATTATGCACTTGAGTTCGTGCCAGACTCCATATGACATAACTCTGAAGATATTTAATTGTAATTTAAATCAACGTTACCCAGGTGCAAATTTAAAGATAGCAATAACAGTAAGATTTATTGGATCTATGGCATTTCGAGAAAGAGCTCTTCAGTTGTTGCCTCTCATTGCGTAACGTGAATCATGTAAGAGACAATACAATTGAATCCATTAGGGAAAATCGATACAAACACAAAGTCATAAGAAATGGCCAAGAGACTAATCAATAACATAAGAAGTTAAAACGCTATGGCCAGCAAAAACCGGGAAAGACGTCTGAGGTAAGAAGTTGGGAGGGGAAATGTGTAAACAAGGAGCCATTGACGTTGTAACTTACCGTACTAACAGCCTAGGTACTTGCTAAAATGCCCAGACACGTGTTTCGCCGGTATTAATTCTATACCGGTTTTGAAAGTTCAGCTTTTTAATCTCCAGAGAAATTAATGCTGCTTAACATAGCTGCGAGGGCTCCGGCTAATAAAAAAACCGGTATATCAACCAGAAAGCAGATAGGGAAGGCTGGGCGACCCACTG